CCCCAGCCTGGCTCCTCCCACCACTGCCCCCAGTCCCCTGTCTGCCGCAGCCCCGCTCCCGCTGCTGCCGCTCCCATGCACTGATGGCACTGGCCCCGCTCGTACCCACTGACAGTGCAGAGAGATTGGGGCTGGAGCCAGCAGCGCGTGCAAGCAGAGCCAGTGTCATCAGCAGTTGCGAGCGGTGGCTGCTGGCCCCAATCACCCCTCAGGAGCAGGGAGATGTGGAGAAGCCCTCAGGGGCGGTCAGTGCCCTCAGGAGCAGGGGGATGTGGAGAAGCCCTCAGGGGCGGTCAGTGCTGGCAGCCACTGCTTGCACCTGCTGATGGCACCAAATGATCGGGACTGGTACCGGGCAGCAGGTGCAAGCACCAGGCGGGACCAAGGCATGTGGGAGCAAAGAATTTTCAGTAACCACCAGAGGCTCGTCCTTATGAAAGCAACTGGTGCCCCACCTTGGTCTGGTGCCCCAACTCACCTGCTCCACCATCCTGCCATGGCCAACGCCTGCCATGTTCCGTACACGCCCCCTGGTAGTCAGCACACGTCATAGTGACCAGTTGTTCAGTTGTTCCACCATTTGGTCTATTTGCATATTTGCCTTTTATTATATAGGATTTCAAGGATCCATATATTTGCATATGCATTTCTGGAAGATGCTTTAGAATGAAGGCTTCCTAAGTCAAGTCTATTTTTTTTTTACCATGCTCTGTTCATTGATGTATTGTGAGATGATGCCTGACATATAACAGGTGTTCAATAGATATGTGCTGAATTAATGAATTTACTAGAAAATGGTAAACTCTCCTTTGGGGAGTAGGCCTAGAGGTTGGCAGAACTATTACTTTTAAACATTTTACTATTTTATTTTTTCATTATAGCTTGCATTCAACATTAGTTAGTTTCAGGTGTACAACACAGCAGATAGCCATTCGTATACTTTACAATGTATTCCCTCAGATAATTCAAGGGCTCACCTGGCACCATAGATAGTTATTAAAATATTGTTGACTATATTCCCTATGCTTTACCTTACAACCCATGCACATTTTGTAACTACCAATTAGTACTTCTTGAATCCTTCACTTTTTCATCCTACCTCCCAACACTCTTTCCCTCTATCATCCACCAGTTTGTTCTCTGTGTCTATAAGTCCATTTCTATTTTGTTTGTTCATTAATTTTTTTCTTTAGATTCCTCATATAAGTGATATCACATGTATTTGTTTTTCTATGTCTGGCTTATTTCACTATATATCTGAAAAAACCCAAAACACTAATTTGAAAGAATATATGCACCCCCATGTTCATTGCAACATTATTTATGATAGCCAAGATATGGAAGCAAACCAAGTGTCCATCAATAGACGAATGGATAAAAAAGCTGTGGTATAATGGGATATTACTCGGCCATGAAAAGAACACAATCTTGTAATTTGTGATAGCATGGATGGAATTATTAATTTCTAACTTATACCCACATATGGTATATGTGGGGAGGGTGGGAAGAATGTCTGCTTCTATCCTTGTGCTTTTGCCCACAGAGAAGAAACTGCCCTTGTTTCACTGTCGTCCTTTGTCCTTACGACCCATCCCCTGCCTCCTACCAGCAAAACCGAGAACTGTCTATTCTTGCTGGTGGTTCTCAGGCCTTGCATCCTCAGTGGGCAGGATTTCATTCTTGCCCACCCATACCTCACCCCATTCCAGAAGCACATGTGGCCGTACTTATGCTTCAATGTCAGCTTTCCTACCAGTGCCTTACTCCTCAAACCTGGACATTTTAGAATCAATTAAGTGGGTGTAAGAAACCTGGAGTGGAATAGAGCTATTCTGGGAATTAATAAACATTGTATTTTCTTCCCATTGGCTCTTATCTTTCTACACATAGTGTTCCCACAGAAGAGAACTGCAGGGTGGGTGTGGTGCCACTCAGGACCCCAAAACTCAACCCAACCCCAGATACTGAGGCACTTTTATTTATTTAGTTTAATATATGCTTATATTATCTTTGAAAGGAGGGTATGGATTAGAACATAAGAATAAAGTGAGGAGTGAGTATGGGGGTAGTGGTTTTTCTGTCCACCTACACAACAGAATAATTATTTTTCATAAGTTCTGCTGGAGGCATTTGCATTTATAAACAGGAGAGAAAATAGTAGGCTGGCAGAATAATTTGGCATTAAAAGGTTCTTTGAGAAAACTGGTTCATAAAATCATTAAGTACTTCATTTAAAGCAAAAATACAAAGAAACAGAATTTTCTGAAAAACTTTGGAGTCTGAAACAGAGACGAACAAACTCATTGTGGGTGGGGATGAGGAGTCATGCTGTGTAATGTCTGAAGAAGGATCACAATTAGAAGAGTTGTTCTAGAAATTGAGTAAGGATGAACACTTTTCTATTCTGAGATGGTTTCTGCGTTGTGCCTATATTAGCAATAACTAACAATAACAATGATAACTAGCATCCATTGCTACTGATTGAATGAAGCACAGGACTTCTTTACATGAATTATTCCAATGAAGAAGGTGTAACTATTATCTCATTTTACAGATAAGGAAATTAACATACAGGTAGGCTTAGGCCACATACTACTAAGTGGCAGGAGTGGGGTGCTGATGTTGGCTCGTACAGGATCCAGAGACATGATTGTGTACATCTCTCCCCAACACATGTTCAATGATGTCAAGTTGGTAGCTTGATATGTGTTATTGTAAGAGAATTTACACCTCAGGAATTGACAAATTTGCAAATTCTGTGTTTTTTTCTGCTTATTTATGTGTTGTTTTTTTTTGTTTTTGTTTTCTGGAGAGCTGGCTGCTAAACATTTACTGACACCTCATAGAATAGGATTCAAACCCAGGTAGTTTGATTGCAGAGCATTTTCAAAAATAAATGTTTTCATGCAAAATTATTGATAACTAGGGGCCCAGTGCATGAATTTGTGTACCTTGAAAGGAACTGTGGGCCACGAGGCTGCAGTAGGCACAGGGGCGGGTCTTAGCCCATCCTCCGCTCCCCTGCCCGGCCCCTCCTGCTGCGGCTCCAAGTCCCCTGTCTGCTGGCAGTCCCGCTCCCGCCGCCATAGCTCCTACGTGCTGACAGCACTGGCCCCGCTCACACCCGCTGATGGTGCAGAGCAATTGGGGTCGGCACCAGCAGCAGGTGCCATCAGTGGGTGTGAGCAGTGGCTGCTGCCCCAATCGCCCCTCAGGAGCAAGGGGAGGGGGAGAAGCCCTTAAGGACGATCAGGGCCAGCAGCCGCTGCTCACACCCGCTGATGGCGCCAAGTGATTGGGACTGGCACTGGGCACCAGCAGTGAGTGTGAGCAGTGGCTCTGGCACAAAGAATTTTCAGTAACCACGAGAGGTTCGCCCCAATGACAGTGACCTTGGTCTGGCGCCCCACTCACCTGCTCCGCCATCCCGCCACAGCTGACGCCTGCCATGTTCCGCACATGCCCCTTGGTGGTCAGTGCATGTCATAGTGGCTAGTTTTTCTGGTTGTTCCACCATTTGGTCTATTTGCATATTAGCCTTTTATTATATAGGATAGCGTTACAAATTGTGTCACATAAGACAATGTGAGCCACTTTTAAATGGGTATTCTGTTGCTTCCAGCCAAATGCACCCTAATTTGATTCCTAGCACTTCCTTACAGGATGATGAACATTAAATGAGGTGATGCATTTGAACCCGTTAGAACAGGGCTTTCCACAGCATTAGTCACAGTAGAATGCACAGCAGAGATGTGGCCCTAACATTATTATGGCCATAGTTTAAATAATTTTTTTTACCTTCATAGGAACCAATGAGTGTTAACATTAACAATATCTCCACTTTCTCTTCCAAAGTCTATTACCTGAAGCAAAAGATACATTAAAAAGAGAAGTCATTGGATAAACCAATGATATTAGTCTAAAAATTAGTTTTACCACTTTCAAGCTCCATGAAAACAAAGGCTGGACAATTGCAAACTTCTGTGTATCTTAGGATTCCCTCCCACCCTCCATCTGCCTGCCACTCCCCACCTTTTGTGGGGATCCATGGAGTGAGGCTACAGTCACGCTAACTGAGCCTGGATTATGACCAGCTGAGCACCCACAAGACATGACATCATTTGGCAAAACCCAAATCAGTATAGATGTGATGCTATTACTTGACTTAGATGCTAAGGGCTTTGGGTAAAAAAATAATGATTCTTCATCACCAGAAAAGTAATGTTATCTTTAGGGGTAGCTAAAATGACAGCCACAACCAAACCAGCAAGATCAATAAGAAAATGAACAACCTGTAATTGCTGAGTGCTAACTAGATATCAGGCACTTTTCTAAACACTTTGAATTTGCTGCAGCATTGTTTCATTTTATTATCTCCACAGCCCTCTCACTGACATACAGTAATTGTCCCTATTTTTGAGAAGAAAGAACTAAGCTTTAGGAGTATGGAATCTCTGTGTTGAAATCATCTAGGTGGTGAATGGTTGAGAGAATTTGGAACCTGTGACAATTTGACTCTAGTGGTCTTGTCCCCAATGATGACAACACACTGCCAAGGAGTCCCATTGAGGGAATGGGGCTAAAGGGGTGGTGCTGGGGTTTCCAGGCTCTGAGATCATGGTCAGACTAGAATCTCCACAGTAAAACTCCCTTTGAACTGTGTTGCCCATGGCCTTCTCTGACCACTAGTTTACCTAACCTATTGCTTTGGTTTTGGGTGACATTCAGCCTTGAACACATTCAAAATTTTTGTATGTCTGAGTTTCATTATCACCTTTCCTTGACTCTAAATGCAGTTGTATTTTGGCTCCTACCTGAACCCTGAATGCTGCCAACTTGAATATCTTATGTACAACCTACCCCATTTAGCTGGCTAAAGACACCAACTGGCACTCCACTTTCAACAGACATAGTAACAATAGATTGTGGTTAAAGAACTGGGCAATATGTGTTTAAAGAAAGAGGTTTAAAATATTTTATTAGAGATCATACATCAATGTTGAACATATATCAATGTTGAACATACATCAAGATTGAACAACACTTAAATATTATGGCATCCATATTTAGAAGGACAATATAAATGCTTATAATTTGAACAATCACTTTATTAAAGAAATAAAATAAATTCCTTTTCAACAGTGGGCTGCATGATCCATCAAGTATATTTTTCAATAATTTATTCTTCTTCTTAGTAATATATACATTTATTTTCTTCAGACACACACACAACGAAAGTGATTGATTCTTTACCACATCACATCATAAACAAATGGACCTGTAAAAATGGCATGTAGAAAATTCAGAAATATTTAAACAGCACATTCCAAGGATATTGAGTCCATTTAAGAGACATTAAATGCTTTAGAAGCCATTGAGTCAGCCTGGGTGTCATATATATGCGTCAATACAAAATGCTGCAGCAAATTCAAGTATAGCAATTCTCTCACATGAACATATTTATCTGACTCAGGAGAATATTCTTCTTTCAGCATAGAGCACACACCAAACTCTCAGCATGATACAGTTAAACTCTGTAACATGGAAGGAACGGGGTAAGATCAACTCAATTGACCAAATACCAAAACCTGGAGGAGGGCATAGATCACAAACACGGTATAGTTAGAAATTGTACGTTACAAGGATCTTATTTGTCACAACAATCATAAGGGTTCTAGGAAAACCATAACAGCAAATGTGGCCAGTCAGCTCACATTGGCTTTTCTGGAAACATGGAAATGCCACGTTCCTATTTTGAACAGATCTAATGGTGAGAGAACAGAAAAGCTGCAGTAAGCCAGGAAATGGCACAGGGTTTATGTTTAAATGGCATCAACTGCATTTACTAAAATACAGTTTTAATTTCAAAGACAAAACAAGCCTCCAAATTTGTTTTTATTAGCCCCAGAAAGCCACATCCTTCCTAACTGCTAGTTGATTGTAAAGGAGCAACTCCAAGGCCCTCACTTTTGTTTCCGTTTCTCCCACCACCTCTGCTGCATTGGAGCTGTGATAGGCACCCTTCGCTCTGACAGCAAAGATACTGACCCTTCAGCGATGGACGACGAGCCAGCCAGCCTTTGGGGTACTGGAATGATACAATTACTTTCTAGATTTTTTGTAGGGAAAATACTCTTTCTCTTAAAGCTTACTGCACAATGTTTTCTCACTAAAAAACAATTTCTCAATTTTTAAAAACGTTAAATAGTAGCACATAAAATTTGCGTATTAAGACTTCCAAAACATTTGTTTGTTCTTATGAGTGAGCCATTTTTTGTTGAAGCAAATGTTTTTTGCATGATGAGAAAGAAATAAACTTTTCTGTGTTCAGCCAAGCTGAACATGGGAGCTTTGTCAGAAAAACCCCTGGACTCATCATTTATTGGCTCGTCCTTGATTCTTCATTGGAAAAGAACAAAACAAAACAAAAGAGTGAGGAGGAAAGCAGGTGTGGTTGGTCTGAAGGGAACTTGAGGGATGAGGTTTGCAAAGCCAAGTGGCCATCCATTTAAGCAAGACTGACTTCCGCGTGCCCCAACAGAATGGAGGAGGTGGCAAAACTAGCACATGCCTGAGGTTCACTCCTTCCTTGATTGGAGCAGCTCCTTCTGTCCCACTCCATTCTGTCCTCCAGGATCCGACTCAGAGGTCACTATTTTTGGGAAGGCTAACTCCAAGGCTGGTGGGTGCCTTCCACCAAACTCCCACGGGACAACACTTACCACTCTCTGCTATAAGTATTGATTTGCCTGCGCTCTCCACAGACCACAGGAGCCTTGGTCATGAAGAACATGTGTCCATCATTGTCCTCCACTCTCGGGACCTGTGCCTGGAGCCCTTACTGATAACACAGATGGATAAATGAGTGAAAGACCCTCTGTGTGTTATGGCAGCTTCCCTTGGCAGAAGGTGATTTTGTTTTGCAGCATGGTTTTTTTGTTTGTTTGTTTGTTTTTTTACTTCTGTGAATATGCTAGAATTTGAGGGACACAATAGGGGGGAGCTGACTCTCAAAAAATTTGTATTCACAGTTACTCCTTAAATCACTGTTGTCCCAGCATTGACAATAGTAATATGTTAGATTTGTGTCTTAGATGAATGCTTGATAAACAAGTACATCCACGTGGACATACAGGCTCCTGACAGTGGGTAGCAGGAAAGGGGCTGGGCTGGACACCCTCCTTGCTGGGTGGTAAGGACAGCACCCCGTGGGCATACACCAGGCTGCATGTAATGGTTGTCTGTCCCTTCAAAATCAAGGCAGAATGACCTGTAATGAATTACATCAATGGTTTTCACATACACAGCATCATGCATCAACATGACCCAAATGTTATTCTTCTGTAGAGTAAAAATTCTTACTCCAGACACAACGTCTCCATTTCTACAAGTTTAGACTTTGGTAGAGCTGGTTCTTTGTAAATCGAAGCCCACACTCATTTCCCTGTTTTCCAGGCCAGTCACATTCTGTTCCCTAGGCGATGATGCTGTCTCCCTTCTTCCAGCGCTGCAAGAAAGGAAAACTCTTCGTTTTAATTTGGGTCAACACCAACCGGTTCACCCTTTGCCACAACTCAGCAGTTGCTTCTCAAAACCCAGAAGACTGAAATAGACATAGGCTGTGTTTATACAAAGCAGAGTTGGGCCAAGAACCTCATCCCTGAAAGTAACTTTTCCCCTCCATTTGAAATAAGTATGAGATTCTGAGTCACGAGAGATCATTTGACAGGTCCCTGCCAAACAAGGCCTTTGAGTATGGCTGACAGCCTAAGGCAGACTGAGTCCTGGTGGGCTGAGCTCACACAATGGACTTTCCTGTCAAGCCACCTGCCCAGAGAGTCCTGGAGATCATTTCAAGGGATCCACCGAAATGTTGGGGCTCTCACTGACAGCACTTGAAACTAGAGCTGAGACTGAAAGCGGGTGCTCTCATGACGTGGGTTTCAATTCCAGCTAAAATTAAAACTGCCTATGGGTCGTGACTAGGAATTTGCTGTTTTATCTTGTAAACACTGACTTCTACAGTTACCCAGGCCCAGCATACCTCAGCCCTACTTCCTGAGATGATTTTAGACCTAAGCTTTGTTTCAGATACTCTAGTGTTTTCCAATGGTCAGAATTACTTCTCTTTCTACAGACACACACACATCTTTATGACAGCATTCTATGCAGAGTCTTTTATAGAACAACCATGATAACAAAATACTTCCTATGCCAAGTGCGTAGTCAAGGCAAGAAAGATTACAAACACCACCAGCCCTAGGTGCCCTTGTTCTGGGCTATCTGAGAGAGAGAGAGAGAGAGAGAGAGAGCTCGGTGGAAAGCTTCAAAGTATCACAGTGAGTCTGATTTTTAAAAATTAAAACAAATGTCCAGGCAGAGATATTTCCCACCCAAAGAAAATAGCATAGTGGGGGGAAGGGAACGAAGGAATAACTGAGAATTGAAATTTGGTGCCTAGCACCCTAAATTTAGGAATGATAGCATCCAAGCAATGGCACAACGTCCATTTAGTATTTCCTCTCTAATGAAAGAGTAATTTGTGTCTTGACCAACTTTTGGAAATTTATCAACCTGAACTAGGCGAATGAACAAAGAAAACAGACTTATTCTGTCGTTCCTGTATGTGGAGTTTTCAGTGCTTTAAGATACCTTAAAGGTCATTGATTTAGAATAATGTTTGGCTTATAATGCAGATTGGGGTCTACTATGATTACATATGTTTAACTCCATTACATTTGCCTACTATATTTCAAAGGCGAGAAAAGTGGGGCCAACAGAGGTCAAGTGACTTGTCCGGGTCACTTAGTTAGGCACAAAGATGGAGCTGAAATGAGGCCCGGGCCATGTGGCTTCTAGGCCACTGCTCTTCCCACATCACCACTTACAAGATCTTTCAAGTTCCCTTCTGCTGATTGGCCCTGGGTGGAGCTGGTTAAGGTCAGGACAAGGGTTCAGCAGGCCAGGTGACCAGTACAGGTGAACTCCAAGACTAGATACGCCAAAGGCTCAACTTCTCCCTTAACAACTTACAGATGTTACTGTCTTTCTTCTTCTCACACTCATATCACTGTATGGGTTCCCTGTGAAAATCTTTCCTTTGTAAATGTGACTGTAAAATCTTCCATTTCACCCTATCAAAATGTGCAAAGGGCTTGGCACATAGTAGATGCTCCAAAACTGTCATTTCTTCCTCTTTGGACTTGACCCTCATCATAGTGCATTGTCTGGAGCACGCTTGCTTCCTCTTCTGCAACACTGGATGGAAGAGGTGTGCAATACTGGAGAGTGGGCTGCTGGGACTTTATTCCCCAGAGACAAAAATGAACCATTTTCCTTCCTCCACATCTGATGCATTTAGCATGTGTTTGGATTCAGGCTTAAAAAGCTGAAACAAAATTTCTGTTGCAGAATGTCAGCACACATGTGCTGAAGTTTAAGTATCAGGGGTGAGTGTGACATTCAGAAAAGGGAGGCAGAGGGTCTGCTGAGCTGCTGGAGACAAAAGCAAGCATGAGACCCTATTTTTTAATTCAATTGCTCCCTAATAAATGTTTACCCTCTTTAAAAATATAGGTAGAAAACTAACAATAAATTGTTATTTAAATATTTATCATACTTGCTTGTTTTGCTCTTTAAAGTACTTTATGGGTTACTTTTTAATATTCTTGTTACTTATCAAACTAAATGTGGGCATTTTTATTTTTGATTAAAGCTGCTCACTCACCTCCCCATCTCCAATGCTCCCTCTTTCCCTGCTCTTTACGATGACAATCCCTCTGCTCTGACACAGCGCCTGGGTGGGAGCGGCACTGTGGATGAGAAGCATTCAACCCAATGCTCAGCGTTTGATTAACGGGCCAAGCAAAGGCCTCCCAACCCTTGAGACATTAATTAGCCAAGCTGCCGAGCTGAAATCTTTTCATTATGAAAGATAAGGCTGGGTTTAGCAACAGGAATGGGGACCAGAGGGAGGAAGAAAGGCAAGTTTTTTTTGTTTGTTTGTTTTTGTTTTGTTTTGTTTTGTTTTGCATGTTTGTGTGTTTTTTTATAAATCAATAAACCATCGCTACACTCATTCAAACCTGTTTTTGGATGGCTTTGGCCTCAATACACTTTATACTTTTGTAGGCCCTGCCTTGTCACATGATTTCTCCTCTTTTCATTTCTAGATTGGACTGAAGCTGATGTACTATCTTACTCTAGACAACTCACCCATTGCCGGATGGGGACTTGTGGTGATACAGCCTCCCATGTGCTCCTTGGTGACCCATCTCCCAGGCCTGGATTCTGACATTGGTTCCTGATCCCATTTGGCTCTGTCTCACCTTGCTCTCATGGTCTAGGCCAGTGGTCAGCAAACTGCGGCTCGCAAGCCACATGCAGCTCTTTGACCCCTTGAGTGTGGCTCTTCCACAAAATACCAACTTCTGCGCATGGGCCACAAAGTTTCAATCGCACTGTACGTGGGCGCCCGCACGTGGTATTTTGTGGAAGAGCCACACTCAAGGGGCCAAAGAGCCGCATGTGGCTCGCGAGCCGCGGTTTGCCGACCACTGGTCTAGGGTCTGTCTCATTCAGTGATGGCATTCTGTTTTCCTGGATGCAGATGTCTCCTGGGGGATCCCATGCCTGCCTACGCTAGATGGCACTAACCTGGGATTCCCCACTGCTGTGCTCTGCACCCCTGATGAGAATCTCACTGAGACTTTTAAGAAGCCCAGTGTTGTCAGCTATTACCTGAGCCTTCCCGGTGGGTCACTTTGGTATTTCCAAGTCCCATGGACCTGCTCTACCAGTCCCTGCCTGTAGCTAGTGCTTGGATCTTGTCCCTCTTTGTCCCCTCTCTTTTTGCCTGCTCCGAGGGGTCCTGGTCCCCAGATATGACCACCCAGGTGCTGAGGATTGCTATGATCATACAAAACAACTTGACTGTTTCTGCCCTTCCGAGTTTTAGTCTAGTTGAGAAGACAGACATATGTAGCTACAGTATAAAGTAAACTTAAAAGGGAGAAAAATATAGATTTTTAAAAACGACAGAAAGATCACAGTAAAATGCACCATTGGTTGCCAGATGCATTTTACAGACAATTGCTGTGGCTATTTGGAGACAGGATTCAGGAAGGACTGAATTTAAACATCTGACCTGGAAAAAGAATTGTGGATAAATTTTTATGAGCTAAAAGGAGAGTGGGGAGGAAATTGTTATGGTTTGAATTGTGACTCCCCAAATTTTATGTGTTGCTATCCTAACACCTTGCGCCTCAGAATGTGACTGTATTTGGAGATAGGACCTTTAAAGAGGTAATTAAGGTTAAGATAAGGTCATCAGGATGGGCCGTGATCCAATCTGACTGGTGTCCTTATAAGAAGGGAGATTAGGACACAGACACACAGAGGGAAGGCCATGTGAGGACATGGGGAGAAGACAGCCATCTGCAAGCCAAAGAGAGAGGCCTCAGGAGGAGCAACCTGCTGACACTTGGATTTCAGGCTTCCAGCCTCTAGAACTGTGAGAATAAACTCCGCTGTTGAAGCCCCAGCCGGCGGTGCTTGGCCAGGACAGCCCGAGCACACTGACACAAGGGATTCCAAATGCATGGGGCTGTGGCAGCACAAGCAGGAGCACACGTGGGAGGAGACGACCCTTTGCTTGGGGTAGTGAGGCTCCTGGATATGATGAGAGACTAGAGGGGGTCTGTGAATGAGTCCCAGGAGCAGGTGGGCCGGAAACAGAGCAGGAGCACCAGGAAGAAGGAACCTTTCACCCAGATGAGGTCTGTGCATCAGGTTAGCACTGCTTAATGCTGACCTGGAACCAACTTGACTCTATGAGATCAATCCAGGCTTTGAAGAACCTATGGGGGAAGTGAAAGGAAAAAGCCACAAAGACGAGAGATGAAGGATGAAGAGGAAGAGAAAGAGAAGGTGACTTCGTGGGGCTTGGTAAATTGTCAGAGGATTGTAAGTTGTCAGGGAGTGAGAGTTGACTGGTAAGAAGAGGTGCACTCCAGTACGGGGCCCGACACCACTCCTGACTACCAGCTCTTTTTAATATGTGGCTGCTCATGTGTTTGTATCTTTCATTTGGAACTAACAGTAAAAAACAGAAAGACAGCAATGTGGGAAGAGGGTGAAAGCCCTTGGGAAGGACCTTGAGCTGCCTTCACCTTACCTGCGTCCCTGGAGGCTGTGGCCGGGGGGGGGGTGGGGGCAAAAGGGCCAGCTTGCAGCATCAGGCCTAATGCCTGATGTGGGGAGGGGATGAAGGGTCTGAGGGAAACTCGGCCTTATCACCTAGGGTTATGCATGGCACTCTCTATCCCACGGGAACTGGCTCCCACAGGAGTAAGGGCATCCCACCCCAACGTCAGTCACTGCCTATAAGTTTGGCAAGAAGTGGAGTTTGGAATTATTGAGAGAGAGGAAAAGATAAGGAAAGGAGATAGACAGAAGGGAAAGAAGCAAGACAGACAGGGGGCAGCAGAAGGGAAGCTGCCACACCCA